AACAAGTCTGTGAAAATGCAAATGAGTGGAAGTTTGGAAGACAATGGGTAGAGATGTGGGTGGGGAGGGAGGGAAATAATATTCACTCCAAGGGGAAAAATAATCATCCAAATTATTCTGATGAGCCACAGGGATATTCTGATGAGCCTCAGGGTATCCAGTAGTGATCCACTGTGTAAGGTAAGGTAATCATCCCAATATTGCCTTCCATTTGGTAACACTATGGGTAAGTACAGACAGTAAAAAAGCCCAAGACTGAATCGATTCAATCTTTGCAGGTTAGTCTAAGCTGCATAGATTGAACTGATAAGCAAGTGAACAGACATTCACTTTTGATTTCAGAAATGCAGCCACATGCCTGCAATGGCCCATGTCAGCAGCTGGGGGGCACTACAGCATGCCTCCTTGCTGGCTGGAGTAGACAGCTTGGACCAAAGCTAGCCCACCCACCCTGAGAGGAGGTATTTTTGAGGGAGGTGCAAGGTGCTGGCGGTGTCTGTGGGCAGTCACCGATCGCCACTCGGTGCTCACCACCTCCACCTCCACCCCCCGCCACTGCTAACACTGCTGCTGCTGCCTGTGAGTGGTCGCCATGCCCCCCAGCCTTCATGTATGTCCCTAGCCTATATGAAATGGTCACCCAAACATTCTTACTGCTGCTAGCATGTAGCAGTTACTATGTAGGATCTGCCTCTTTCAGTTGTTCTTTTGAAGCTGTGTAACTGTGCATTTCTCTGCTGCCAGGAAAGAACTATTTCATAAAGTGAAGCCACTGTCTTTGTCAAAGAACTTCTGCTCTGCAGCCATCTGGAGACATTGCCTGGGTATAGATCCAGCAGGCATCCAGGGTTTGTCTTGGTCACCTGTCTTTGTGGACTGCTACCCCTAAGGCGGCATTACATTTTATTCATAGAGAACACAGTTTCATAGCAAGTTGTCTGGAAATGTAATTCTGACTGCTAAATCTTGGGCCTGCAGCCAACTATGATGGACAGTCTCAGAGAAAGAATAAAAAAAAATAACTAAAGGATTCTAAGAAAGAAATCAAGAGAAGGGGGCCTGAAACAGACTTCAGGATGAAATAGTTGGTTGGAGATATAATTCTTAAGGCTAAATCCTGGGTCTACAGGGCAAAGGGTATTAGGGGGAAAATCAGAGAAATAGAATGAAAGAATTTGATGGAATAAATTAGTTGAAGACTAGATCCAATATTCTGGACCCAAACACACAGAAATGTTGGAAAAATCTGGGCCTAAATCTGAACTCTACAGTTTAGGCTTTTCTCTAATTCTGACTAGACAAAGGAAAGTGGGGAGAAGAAAGGAAAAAGGAGTAGGAGGGGAAAAGTGAGCAAAGAACACAGGCTAACAAATGTAGCTAAAATGATTAGCTTGTTGCTATCCTCAGTCCAAAATGAGGGTATAAGTAAGAAAGAGCTAGATTTGCTGTTTCACATATGCTGATTAGACAAGGCTAATGGGCTGCTAAATAAGTCTCCAGTGGGGCTAATTACACACAAAAAACAGTCTGTATACTTGAGCTGCAGGGTTTTTTGGGGTTTGCTTTTTTTTAGAAAATTAATATAATAAAATATTAGATTGGTGTGTGGGATACCAACATCACTTTTGTTAAAATACCACTGCCTCACAACATTAACACATTTTAGGACTATAACTAGATTTAGGAATCACGAATCACTTGGTGTAACAATAAGAACAGCTTCAATCATAAATCTGGAGTTCTCAGATGACCTAAAGGAAATGAAAAGATCTGTTAAAGGACTTATTTCTTATGTACTATTTTGGAATAGACTTTCAAAGTTCAATCTCAAGTACACCAATGTCAAACTTCACTTGTTGAGTAAAGGTCGTATAAGACCCCAAGTGATCAGCATTATAACTAATTCTTTTATAACTCTTTTATTCAGATTGAATAACAAAATGTGGTTGTAAGCAAGTGCAGAGAGTGAATGACCACACATCGTTTCTTGGGGATTTCATGTCATAGAAAGATTCTGTCTTTTTCAGGAGCAAGAAAGAGCATAAAGCTTTATGATTACAGAACTTATCTTTCCTTTATGGCAGGGGGGTCAGATACAGCCCACAGAGCCCTGTCAACCAGCCCACAGTGCTGCGCATGAGTCTTGGAATGGACCCATTCACCACTTAAGGTGAGCACTGGATTGGCCCTATATGCTTCACACAATGTGTGGGGCCATGGAGGATGTGTGTTGCACAGGGAGTGCAAGGCCATTCCAGGATGCTGCCTGCTTTAGCCAGTCTGAGACACCCACTGGATGCAACACCAATGCAGGGCTGGTCCGAGATGTATGCTGGCCCGGACCAGGCTGGCCCTGCATGCCAGATCTGTGTAGCTGGTCTGCAGGTTCAGTCTGGCCAAAAGACTGGCCCTGCATCATTCATCCAGCCTGTGGACCAGCATTCATTTGGCCTACAGGGCTGGATGAGTTTAACACCCTTGTTCATGGCACTAATGATCCCTCAGATGATGGAGGTATATTCAACTTATGGTTTGCTAAGAAAGGGATTGTTTTATATCTTTTCAGACTGATGATTCAGATCTAAGGAAAGGTTATGACAAATCTGGCTTCTGGCTATGACAAATGTTGAGAGACTGAGTGACTTGCAGTAATGATCACAACTTTTGTTTGGATTCTGCAGAGTGAGTGAAACATGTGCCACAAGAAACTGCTGTCAAAACACATGAAGGATGATCCAAAAATTATTTCTGCCTTAGCTGTTTTGTATTCTGCAAGAACTGAAGACTCCCAAGACCTTGGAGAACGAAGTTAAAACCCTTCTTCATTTCCTGAATATATACCAGTCCTTCTGCCATTGAGACTGATAGGTATGTTATTACCAGTTTAAACTGTAATAAGATCAAGTTCTTTGTATTACACTGAAGACAGAGATAGACTGTTAAAGTAATATAGGTTAGTTTTGCCTACAAAATACAAATATTCTATTTATCTTTCTATGAATCGGATCCTACATGCCTTACTCAATCAAAAATCCTATTACTTTTTGAATAAGGCAGTTATTCTCAACCTTTTTAAGACTCAAGGCATGCATCCGTAACTGTTGTGAATTGAACGGGACCTCATTTTAAAATCTGATTTATTACAGTGCTTGCCTCTTTGCAATGCAGGCAGGGACCTACCAGTCAGGGAGAGCATGAGCTTGTTATCTGCTTATCTCGTCACACTCCTGGTGCTTTAGCTGGTGCTTGATTGAAAATCACTGGCATATGGGATAGGTTTGTTACAATTCTCTCTCACAAACATATTTTTCCCCCTCAGGCAACAAGCAAGAATCAGGAAAGGATAAATATATGTTAAAAAGTTACTGACTCGTGAAATTACTTTATCTGCTTAATTTTATAAGATAGCTCTAAGAAGGAAGTTGGATTTCTCTCAGCTCTGTATTAGTTAAAAAGAACTAAAGATAAATTCTAGTAACGGGAGTGCCAGATATCCTCTTTTCTACATTACACTTCCTGAGGAAACTTGGGGAGCGTTTTGACACGAAGTAAAGAAGAAATGCTATACTGAAGACGTCTTAGCTATCCACAGAATGTATTTACTGTACTATTATCGATTTATTTATTCCAAGCTCCCTAATACCTGAGGGTTGCCAAGAGCCTATGCTTCAGGTAGCAAAACAAGACCTTCCAAAAACTTACAAAAGGTATTTCTGCCATCTAGTGGAAAAATAAAAAATTGCACTGGTTTTGCATCCATCAAAAGTGCCTTTGTGGGTGGAGAGGTCGCCTGACACCTCGGTGTATGACCATAACATTTTTTACGGCCACACAAAGGCTGAGCAAATAGATGTCGATACTCGTTGTTGCACCACGTCAAAAGGAAAAGCAGTGGCACAAAGCTGGTCATAGAGGGCGCACCTACACGTTCATTAATGCATCATAATTATGGCACATTTAGTACCTGTAATAACTTAATCGGCGCTGCTGCACATTACCGCAAACGAACACTTTTTGTATGAAACTTAATGCTCATTGGACTAAAGTCCTGCGCACTAGCATGGTTTTTGCCCGCCCTGCCAACGTGCAGTAGAATTAGTCCGACTGGCATTAAGTGCCTCGTGCAGACACGCCGAGACTGCCGCGCACTGAGACCTCTGCGCCATCGCTTCCTTCAGCCAGACCCGCAAGCCGCTGCTGCGAGCTCCCACTACGCATGCGCGGCCTTGAGCTGGCCCCTGCTCGGCCAGAGGGCCCGCGGCCGGGCAGAACGCACGCGCATCCCGCGCACTCCATTTCCCAGCAGGCCCCGCGCCCTGCCTTCCCTCCATGCTGCCGCGGGGGCTGCTGGGAGCGCGATGGCGGCGCGGCGGGTGGTGGTTGGGCTGCGGGCGGTGAACAGCGTCCGGGTCCGCTTTTGTCCCTTCGAGACCAACGTGGAGAGCACGCGGTGCGCGGCGGCGCCCCTCACTCCTCCCCCGCAGCCCCTGCTCTCTGCAGCCCCGCTGCGCCTCCCTGCTGCCCGGCCCGGCCCCTGCGAGCACAGGCACTGGTCCGGGGCCGTGCAGCTCCCCGCGGGGCCCCCACTCCCTTCTCCCTGCCTGGCTGCATGGGGGCCACGCGTGTCCGCGCCCTCCCCCCACTCGCCCTCCCCCCCTACCTCCTCCGAGCCCCAAGCAGCGCCTTGCTAGGGCAAGCCAGGAAAAACCTAGAAGCTGAGCTGACCACAATCCTAGACGTTTGAGCATATAAAAAAAACACCCGGGTGGATATTGGGGGATCCAAAAAGAGGACACCTCTGGGAAAACCCAAATATATTGAGTTACCATAATGAACTGTGAAAATGCATACAATGTATTTTACTTACTTAAACATGCTTCATACATCTTTACAGAGAGTTTCTTCACCACATAAGCAGTAAAAAAGCACGCAGCTCCAATTTCAACTGTGTCGTGACCACCGATGTGAGGCACGATGGGTCTGAACCAATGGTGGACATCATGTTTGGTAAGGAGCTTAACTTTTTTAATGTTCCTTTCAAAAGTCCTTGTAGATTTATGCAGCACAGTGGCCGTCATAGTGGTTTCGTAGATTCATAGGCATTAGGGCTGGAAGGGACCTCGGAAGATAATTGAGTCCAGCCCCCTGCCCCAGGGGCAGGAAGTCAGCTAGGATCAAAGGATCCCAGCAAGATAAACGTCCAATTGACTCTTAAAGGAATCCAGAGTAGGGGGTTGCACCACCTCTGGTGGCCATCTGTTCCAGACCTTGGGGGCTTAGACTGTAAAGAAGTTCGTTCTTGTATCCAGCCAGAAACAGTCTTGGAGAAGTTTGTGACCATTTGACCTTGTCATCCCATGGGGCGCTCTGCTGAACAGGCGTTCCCCCAGATTCTGATGCACACCCCTTATATACTTATAAGCAGCCACCAGGTCCCCCCTGAGCCTGCGCTTTTCCATGCTGAAGTGTCCTGTAGCTCTCAGTCCCGTAGCTCTCAGCTTCTCATCATAACGCCCGTTTTCCTACCCTGATCATAATCCTTTTGGTTTAACAGGAGGACCAGTTCCTCCTGTTTGTTCCCCAGGCTCCTGGAATTGGTGTACGGGCATGTAAGTTTCTCATTGGGGGTCCTTGCCTTTCCTACAGATCGCTCTGGGGCTGGGGTAGGGGCAGGTTCCCTTGAATACCTTAGCTTGCTGGGTTTACAAAAACTGCCCAGTAGGCTTGCAGTGGCAGTACTCCCCCCATCCGCCAGCGGGCTCAGTTTAAAGCCTAGTCGAACAGGTCAGCAAGTATGGCTGAGAAAAGACTCCTTCCCAGCAGAGTGAGGTGGAGGCCCTCTCTTCCCAGCAGCTTACTGCCTCCTTCACCAAAAAGCAGGCTGTGATCGTGGAAGCCGAAGCCTTCACGATGACACCAGCGCTGCAGTCTCTGGTTGACTAGCTCAACCTGTCTCTCCCACCTCAGCCCATGACCCACAACCGGGAGGAGCGAGGAAAAGACCACCTGCGCCCCCAACTCCCTAAGCCCCACTCCCAGAGCCCTGTAGTTTCTCATGACCCAGCTGGGATTGCTCCGAGCCGTGTCATTCATGCCCACATGGATAAGGAGCATAGGGTAGTGGTTGGAGGGCTGGATGATCCCTCCTGGGGGGCAGTTTCCCATGATGAGCACTCTGCGTTTCATCTTAGGGACAGTAGGGGTGGGTGTTCCTCCCTTGCCTGTAGGAGCTGGCATGTCTGCAGGCTCTAGTGGGGCTGCGAGAGGTTTGTACCTGTTGCGAAGCCCCAGAGGGGAGGGGACCTTGGTGCGGTGGGCCTTGGGGCCCTTGACCACTTGGTCCAACACCCTGGCTGGACAGTACAGGAGATCCCCAAGTCCTCCCTTGTCCTGAAAGGTGACCTTGGTCTACCCTCCGCCTCCAAGGGGTGAAGCACCTGGCAGTCTGTCCCTTGCTCGCCATCCCTGATAGCATGCAGTCTCTGTACTGTGGCCTGGAGCTCCTCAGTCCGATGCCCCAGAGACTCCAAAGTGGAGCAAACCTTGCAAGGGGAAGTGGTCATGCTCCTGGTCCCATGTGTCTGGAAACGTGCCAGGCAGGCCCTGTAGCCAAGAGCCAGGGGCTCCATCTGCATAGAGCCCGGAACCATGGGTTCCGTCTGGGTGGAGGCCTCTGAGGTGCCAGAGGGGGAGGCCGCAGACTCCAAGGGGACCCTTGGGGTATGGCATGTGCCCATTTGCATCGTGCTGCTGGGAGTCCGGCTACTGATGGAACTACTTTCCTTGGGGCTCACTGGCAGGGCCTCGGGTCATCCTGCTCACCCTTCTGTGCAAACTCCTGCACTAACTTACACGCTGGGCAGACAAGTGTACCTGTTTGCGTGGCCCAGTCGCATGGCTCCCTGGGGGGGCTGGGCGAAGTAGGAGCCGGGGGTGGGGCAAGACCCTCCTCAGCTCCTCTCAGCTGCCTCCCTGCAGCTGATCTAAAATAGCCCCTCCCTCCATGGGCCCTGCTTACCTCTGGGTGTGCTAGGGGTCAGCAGGGTGCTCTGCAGCTGCTGTGGGGCTTCGGGGTGTGGGGACACGACAAGCCTTCACCCATGCATCTCGCGCCACTCCCTAAGCCCAGATTGTTTTCTGGAATTCTGTTAACATGATTTGCTTTGGGATCATACCGTGACTGGCATTTCATTGTGGGAGATAATGTAAAAATAGTGCTGAGCAAAAGTAGGATGGGATCACAGGCAGGTTAGTATACTGGGAAGAGCATAAACACTTCTGTCTAAGTTGCATTTAGACCTGGGAAGAGAGAGAATGCTCAAAATTGATCTTTTGGCCCCATGGGCCAGATGAATAGTTTGGGGCAGTCTGTACCTCCTGGCCCTGCGCACTGGGATTGGGCCTTATATTGCCCCAATCATGGGTCCCCAAGGATCTGGATATTTAGCGGCAGGGAATTAGCTGCTGCTACTCCCCTGTTGCCTAACTTTTCAGACCATGGAGAGCTCTGTAGGCTGGAGGACATGGCTCCATGGGTCACATCTGGCTTATAGGCTGGGGGCTGAGTACTGCTTCTGAAAGTATCTGACTTGAGATGCCTGCAAGCAGAAACTTGAACCTGTGTGGCGCCCCAGTGAAGTCACTGACATCTGTTTCCTTACCCCACTTCAGCCCACCCATGACTCATTGTAGTACCAGAGCTATAGACAGCTCACTCCTGAGAAGTTAAGTTCTGCTCCTCCAAATAGTTATTCACAAATAACTTGCCCTTCCAAGGTGTCATAATGGGTTAAATGGGACTACTCCCATGGGCTAAGCTACTTCATTACGTAAAGATTTGTGGTATGCAGTCATACTGGGGGAGAGGGAGCAGGGGGATGTCCCTGCACATCCTGCATTCTCCTGTAGGGTCCCTGCAAGTATCCCTGGCTGCTGAGCCCAGGCATGCAGGTGTGGGAGCATCTTCGAGGCCACCCAGGTGGCAGGGAGGACACGGCAGGGTCAGGTGGCACCCCTTGACCCCTGTGCCCCCAGGCCACGGCTGGACTGGACAGGCTGTGTGAGCGCCCACTCCTGCCGGCTCACTGGGTGATAAAAAGTTCATGATCCGGCCCCACATTCTAAAAGTTCGGGCACCCCTGCTGTAGCCTGTTAAGTCTTTTCCATTACTAGTGCTTGTTACCTGTTCTTCACTTTAATTGTTCCAATTAACTTTTCTGAGAATTTTGCAAATATTGCCTGTAATGTGCAGAATCTCTCTCCATCTCTCTCTTGCTGTATTTTTAGAGGTTTCTGTTTGCCTTCTTTTATTTTCCAGCCTTGTCTCTGGGATAACTGTTAATGGGACTTAGTGCTGTGCACAGGCACAGCCAAAATGAATCATTTCACAGATGCTAGTAACTACTGTTCTTAACTTCACTTACCCAGGGCTGAGCTTGTAACAAGTAAAGCATCTGCAGACCTGAACTCTGGTACTGTGTTTCTCACTGTGAGAATGTCTATACAGTAGGTCTTGCTTATCCAAATACTTGATTAGCCAAATGGCAACTTCATTATATGATACTAGTTACAGGTCAGTAAAATGAAGTACAGATTTACTGTACTTACAATATGTACAGTATAATACATTGTGGTGTTAAATTTGGTAAGGTTTTACAACAGGCATAATGTTATCATGTATAGAGCCTTACAAAATGCTGCAGTTTCACCTACCCTAATAAATTCTGGTACTTAAAACAGCTTTTCAAGAAGTGCTGCACTGTGCTAGTGCACACACTGCCTTCAAAACTAGAAGTACTATAGTTGGGCCAGTGCAGCATTGTCTATGCACTGCTAACCCTGCCTCTCAGATGATAAGCAATAAGAGCCACTGTGTTACATTATGGCAGCTACACTACTTCTGGTTCAGAAGATAGTGCAGGTTAGTGTGAATGAGGCCTATCTAGTGCGGTGCAATCTTGGTGCAATAATTGTATAGAACAGTGGTCTCCAACCTTTTTAAGTAGGAGATCACCTTTGGCATTTAAAAGCAATCCAAGATCTACTGTATGCTGCTGGCCCCCCCCCCCCCCCCCCCGCAAGTAAGTCTGCGGGGAAGGGGTGGAGCAGATCAAAGCAGAGGGAGAAAAATTTGCTTGGAGGTGCGTCTCCTCAGCAGGTAAATTATACCCAGCTGGGGCCCCACTCAATTTACCCCTGCTCCTGCCTCTGTGGCACTGTCCCTCACTGCGGGGGCCTCAATTTAGCCCCTGCCTCTTCCCTCCCCCACAGACTGACTTGCTGGGCTGGGGTGAGCATGTGGATGCGCACGGGCACTCAGCCCCCAACCCCAGCCTCAAATCAACTCCAAGGAGCTCCAAGATCTACTGCAAGAGGCTCTGAGATCTACTGGTGGATCACCACTGATATAGATGTACTCTGTGGCAGAATGCCACTTCTGTTTCTCCCCAAAAACTCTGATCTGTGACAATTTGGTTAATATGGGCTCTTTAGGTAACCCGGAGTTGTAACCTGAGTTGGATACATTCCTGAGGGAGGGGGGAAACCTGCTCCTTCTGCCTGTGTGACTGGCATTACATACCTGGTTGAGGAGCTTACACTCCCTATTATTAAGCAATGTCAACTTGATTGGGAGGGGGCTAGAGACTCTGTCAGTCTGCCCAGCGACCAGTGATGCATTTCAAATTGGTTGGCTGGTAGCCTCCATTGGACCAGGTAAATGAGGTCATAAGGGCTATATAAGTTAAGGACTGCCCAAGAGGAGAGGCAGTAACCATGATCTCTCAGAGAGAGAAGAGCTGGACTATCTGAAACTTGGTCTCTCTCTTGAAACTCATGATCAGTGAGCTGCCTGCCTCCAGAGGGAATCTCCACCTGACTCTGGATGTTACTTGTGAGTAAGCTACCTGAGATCTAACTAGATATATAGCTTGCAGTAACTCAGATGTGTGATCAAAGGCTGCTCCAGCCACCCTGTTTGCTCAATGGGATTTCTCTGATACTACTCA